TGTGGCGGGCCCGACTGTCATCATGTTGGCACCTGTCATGACCCAGTGTGAACCTATTGACATCGCAGCGTCCATGCTCATATTCGCCCTGGTGTCATGGTGATACCCATCCCTAATCATGCTTCTATGTCCACACCCCCCAGTCAAGCACATTCTCACGCCCGCTGATCCTGAAACCTTGAATGACCTTGTGAAGCAGGATTCCAGTACGAGGCCGCGGACCACGACTCATTTTCACAGGAAAAAAATCCAATCCGGAGTGCCAGCATTAGCAGTCTTCTACAGACAGCCAGCTTCACTGCAGCCGCAAAGCCCAAACTTCTGTAGTCATCAGCCTCTCAGACTCAGCTTGAATACCGCAGGCCCCTAAATCCTCAACCCTAGACCCTAAACCCTCAACCCTCAACCCTAAACCCTAAACCCTGAACCCTAAACCCTAAACCCTCAACCCAAACATCAAAGCCTTACGACCTCAGGCCTCAGTTCTTTCATCTTTTCAGCCCTCAGCATTCTGCCAAACTCCCAGAACCCTAATACCACGAAGGCCTAACAAACCGAACTTACCAAACAAGTTGGAGAAAGCAAATACAAAAACAACCCAGAAGAACCGGATTTTGAAGTAGAACAGCGCCCTTCAAGACCTCTAAACCCCCAAACCCTAAACCCTAAACTGGCCTTACAGCCTAACTGGGCCACTCCCGTCCTTAAGATGGGTTCGCCCTTTTTGGGTTTCGGGGTCTTCGGGTTCAGGGCCTCTCAAGTTTTGAGATCTAGATAATCAGAAAGACCATTTTGCGGTTCCTTATCCTAATTATGGTATAATGTACCCCAACCCTAAACCCTAAACCCAAAGCCCTAAGCCCTACGACCCTAATCCCTAAACCTAAAGCCCTAAACCCTAAACCCTAAGACCCTAAACTCTAATCATTAGAGCTCTGATCCTGGAGGTTGGGGTTCAGGATTTAGGATCCTGTCGGTAGCCGCTTGAAGGGAAATCCTGTAGGGGCTTTAAAACCGGTTTAGGGCTTAGGATTTAGGGTCTAGGGTTTCGGGTTTAGGGTTAGGGTTTTGGGCTCCTTCACATAGTACAAGTATAAGTACAACAGACTTTCTGGGCAAAGTATACTGTACTATACTCCAATTATCAGTAACTCCCAAACTAGCATAAGTCATTATCAACCCTAAACCCTAAACCTCTAAACCCCTAAAACCCCAATCCCTAAACCCTAAACCTCTAAACCCTAAAACCCTAAACCCTAAACCCCTAAAACCCTAAACCCTAAAACTCTAAAACCCTAAACCCGGAACCCATTATCAAGGCCGCGTATATCACCCAACCTGCACAGCTTACGATTCACCCGCAACTCTAAACTGGGTTTAGGGATCAGGGTTTGGGGTTTAGGGTTTAGGGTTCTAGGGTTTAGGGTTTAGGGGTTTAGGGTTTGGGGTTTAGGGCTCAGGGGCTGGGATTTAGGGCTTAGGGTTTAGGGTAGGACACGCAAAAGAAGTGGACCTCGTGCTGGATTTTGCGCAGGGCTAGGGCAAAGACATTGCAGGCGTTACACTTTACACGATACCCAATACGACGATGTTCCCCACGTTCACAACTCCCTGGTTGTCAGTGAAGCGTCGACAAGCACTCCAGTCAATATGTGTCTCATGTGTCCAAAACCCCAGCGCCGCCCGCAGCAGAACCGCGTGCTTTTAGCGTTGGGGATGTCATACAAAAGAGCAGGCACGTAGTTTCGCTAGTGCCTCGTTTCAGGTTCAGTGTCCCTAAACCCTAAATCCTGAACCCTTCAACCGTGGTATTGGGGTCAAAACGACCAGACCGAAGTCTTCTGCACTGAATACTCAAAAAACGGTTGTAGCTAGGAATGCCTGCCCATTATGCTTTCTGGTTATAATTGGTACACTTCATCGCGGTTTACAAGCCCTCAACCCTTGTCGACTGCAAACTCCATCTGTAACCTAGCCCAAAGGCTCCATGTACCCATATGGTATATACTTAGACCCTAAAGTACTTATATAGGAACCCCTTTAAGGCCTAAGTATATAATATATGGGTACATGGAGCCTTTGGGTAGGGTGAAAGCCTACAAAGAAGATCAGGTGCAGCACGCTTGGTTTGACTTCGTAAGAGACGGCGGCTTCACAGGCGGGTTTCGGGAATAGGGTTTAGGCTTCGTCGCTTTTTGGCTTGAAGTCTAGTTTTGGATCCAGGACTTAGGCTTTTCCGAGCAACCGCATCCAGGAAGATCGAGCAAAGATAGCGTTGATTTGAAAAGGGCATGTATAAATACGGACGCTACTTTTGAGGGGTGGACCTTCAGCTCTCCGGGATTGTCTGAAGCTCCCACATCAAAGTGATCATCGCTAGCCCAGCGGGGGATCCGGGCACCCTACAGCCACTAAACGCTGGGTGCTAAAGCCCCAAACAAAGACCCTGAACCCATCATCTTTGACCCGCAACCATAAACCCTAAGTCCTACACCCTAAGCCCTAAACCCTACACCCTAAAACCTATACTGGATCCTCAACCATGAACCCTAAAAATCCCACACGCTAAACCCTACACCCTAAACCCTAAAACCTAGACCCTGCAACTGAACCTTGCCAGAGGCTACCTTTTCAGGGAAGCATACCGCCCCGAAGCTCCCGTCAGCTGCAGTGTTGAGGGTTTGACGCTTAGGAGGGCTTGGCATTGCGGTTTAGGGTTTAGGGTCAGGGCTTCCGGTTTAGGGGTTGGGGTTTAGGAGGTCTTAGGAGGGTTCAGGGCCAGCTTAGGGTTCTAGGGTGAAAGTTGCATGATGTTTTGGTACCTGTGGCGGTTCCTTCCCCGAGCCAGATACCAGACCTGGCATGCTTGCATGCTGTGAAAAAAACGCGAGCACAACGCCTGGACCGCATAAAGGAATGAGTAACCTGGCAGTGGGACGCGACAGTGCGACGTTTACACGACAGGGGAGATTTCCGTCACTAATTATACTACATAGCCACGCTGCACGAATGCGGATGAACCAAACCAAGCTGACGACGAGCACGCACCGACGACGACGACGACTAGCGCAGACTGTTCTTACTGATTTGCGATTGATGTGATGGCACATTCGAAGATGCTGCTATATACTCGTTTTGCACTGCAGCAGGCCTATACACAATAATTCTAAATCCGTGCTTATCTTTCCAGAAGTCCGAGTCTCTTGCCGGTCCAGGCTGAGGAAAGCCGCGTCGGCGTGATGGTTGTTTTGAGGGCTCTCTCTGTAGGCCCCGTGGGCCCAAAGAAGAACTTGCGCAGTTCAAGACATCTCTCGGGTTTAGACCCAAACTCTAAAACCCTACACCCTAAACCCTATACCCTAAACCCTAAACAGTAAACCTTAAACTGTAAAATTTAGGCTTAACTCGATTTGCACCCGGTGAGTGGGCCCATGGGTTCCTTGTCCAGCGGAACTGCGTGTCTTGAAGGGTCTCCTAAACCACAAGCACGAGGGTGATAGAGTTTCTCAGAGGGTCCTAGGCACTGTTATGGGGAATACTTTTCCAAGTCAAAATAACACTTCCTACTGTAGACACCCTACATTCTACTGAAAAGGTACTTTTTTAGTATAGAGCTCAGGGCCCAAACTCTCCGACTCCGAACCCCAAGCCTGAGCCCAGAGTTCAGGACAAGCCTCGACCCTACACCCTAAACCCTAGCCAGACCTTGAAGAACCTATATACTTGTTTAGTAGGGTTCCTTTTTTTCTTATGATTTCTTTATATAAGTGTCCTAAAAGGGTAGGTTAGTTGGGGTGAAGGTAGACCCTAAACCCCAAACCGAGTTTAAGACTCCACACGATCCGCCAGCACCAGGATGTCAGGCAGTCAAGCAGCACCCACATCGGCTCGAACCGTAGCTCCGACTGTTGATAGTAGCTCAGTAGATTTTAGGTTGGGGTTTAGGGTTTAGGGTTTAGTGTCCTAGGGTTTATAGTGGTTTAGGGTTTAGGCTTTGGGGTTTAGGGTTTAGGGGCTTCGGGGTTAAAAGCTACTGTTGGTTAAGCCAGAAGATGTGACTAGTAAACAAAAAACATAACTAGAGGAACACATATCTACGGTACTTGTCCGTCTATCTATCTATCGATCGATGGATCTATCTGCCTTTCTATTTGCATGTGTGTATGTATGCATGTATGTATGTATGTATGTATGCATGTATGTATGTATGCATGTATGTATGTGTATATACATATATATATATACACACATGTACACAGACACATGCACGCACACGCACACCAACATCTGTGTGTGTGTGTAGAATGTCTTCCATCTGGATATCTATCTACCTCTCTATGTACCTGTCTATATGTATGTACAATTTGTGCACACACATACTTACTTGTATATGCAAACATGTTCATACATGCATAGATGCAGCTGTGCATTGATACATAAAGTAGATCCTCAGTGGAAGCCGAAGACACCCACACAACCTCTAAGGACAAAAGCACCTACGGTTTAGCTTTAGGTTTAGCTGTAGGTTTTAGGGCTTCGTGTTCGGGGTTTAAGGTTTCGGATAGTCCGACTCGAATGGAAGAATGCGGTGGGCGTCTTCCTAACACTGTCCCCATACCGCCTCAGGACCTGGGCGACTTGTAATCGGCAAGTTTGCAACAGAATCGCAAAAGCCTGCGGTTATGCCGGACATGCCGCCGTTCCCGATTTAGGGCCATTTAGGGTTCGCGTGAACGTTCAGACAGCTTTGCTGTGCCATTTAAGTCGAGCAACTTGACCACCAGTAATTACCCTAAACCCTAAAGTAGTGAACTGAGCGAATCTTGACTTTGCGCACCCCGGCCTAGATCGATACCATGCAGCGTTCAGAACTGAAGATGCGTTCTATAAAAAGGACACGTCTATAACTACAGAGTTCAGGGTTTAGGGTTTAGGGGTTTCGAGGTTTAGGGTTTAGGAGTCGTTAGCCGATTTTGCTGCTTCACTTCTCGTGTGGCAAGTTACACAGACAACCACACAAAGTTTTCCTGGGCATCAAACTGGCTGAAATGCGAAGGCGTTGCACTCAGACACATGGTGGACGTCATACTCCGCGTGGCCGTCGTCATGTCATCGGGCACTTTGGTGACGGAGATAGGAAACGGCTCCATACCTTCACTGCTCCAATGAACTGTGTCTAGAACAACGATGACAACCACATGCTAATAATGATCACTAACAGCAAGAGAAGGTTCTCAGAATCACCCTGGTAGCCGAGCGAGGCTTCACTCAATCTCGAGGAGCAGGAAGCTCCATCATCCTTGTCATCCGTCCTCTTCTCGGAACCGCCGATGAGGCTTGTGGGCACGGGGATTTGGTGCAGCCCGGGTGGTGCCTGAACTGGTGGACTCACGAGGGCCTGCGACTCCCGGGTCGCCCATGGTGATGACTTGAGCGGCGGCGCATAGTGCGGGACATACTGCGAGGGCTCTTCGATGCTCATTGGGCTCTGTAGTGGCATCCCGTAGGTGGCAAGCAATTGGGATGAATCCTGGGCTCGTTTTAGGGATCTCTAGAGTTTACGGCCTAGGGCCTAGGGGTCGTTAGCTTAGCAGCTTATGTTGCAACGGCAAGGGACAAACACTTTATTGACAGTCAACCGTGAATGGATCCTTTGACGTGCTATGGCATGTAGCTCGACCATTCATTTATACTGCCTAACACTCACAGGCACAAAAAAACTCTTTATAACTGCAGGTTCAGGTGGCCTGGTCGAGCCGTACCATATGAGGCAGTTCTCTAAGTTAGGTCCCGTTTTAAAGTCCCCAAAATAGTCCGGCACTCGTACAAAAAGGACCCTAAAAACAAACCTAATTTAGAGAACTGCCCATACCCTCTTGCAAGAAACGCAAATCCCTTCACTTCAGCTCTCCGATCAACAGCGACACCGCACGTTGTTTGACAAAACCCTAAACCCTAAACCCCTAAACCCTAAACCCCCTAACCCCGTCCTTCAACATGAGCCCGTTGAGAACAGCTCAAACCGTAAACAAAAAAAAAACAGCTAGATCCGAAAGGCCCCCAAACCCTTTAAAGGAAACCACAGGTGGGGAGCTTAGGGTATATAGGGTTTAGGGTTTAGGGTTTAGGAAACTACAGGTGGGGAGTTTAGGGTTTATAGGGCCTCTATAAGGCTTCTATAAGGCATTATAAAGACCTTCTACAAGGCTCCTATAACGGTAACTACCCACCTGAAAATGTCCTAGAACCCTGAGTGGTTCGTAAGTAAGAGCCAAAACCATAATATATACTGTAAGGGGCATATAAGACACGAAGAGCCTGAAACTAAATTCTCCAATCTCTAAGCCCCCAAACCCAAACTCTAAACCCTATAAACCCTATAAACCCTAAATCCTAAATTCCCTAAACCCAGCATCCGACCATGGCTGGAACATCTGAAGAGATTGCATCTGCGCGAGCTTGGTTTTCGACTTCCCGAGCTCGTGCACAAAGCGACATGCCTGCCCGCGGGCGCAGAAGCCTGGGTTGCTTCCTGTTGAAGGTTTCGGATTCGGGGTTCAGGGCCGCAGTTTACAAAAATATTAAGGGTGTATATCTATAGAATTCTATGGGCTAGCCCTAAAACCTAAACCGAAAACCCTTACGAACTGCCTTTGGCGGATTGCTTGGCCCCATCCCAGTATCTATAAGTATATCCGTGAAGAAGAACCTCGAGAGAAAGAAGAAATGTAGCAGCCTGAGTAGCTAATAATGCTGGACTGTAATGATCCCTTAGTTTAATCAGAGTATGCTCTGACCCACAACCCTATTCTGCTTGGGCGAGTCCCTAATTATGTTCCCAGTTTCCACCAAGGAGCCGTTTTTCACGAAGTCAAAACACGGCTTCGGGCTGGGACGCAACTCCGACGTGGAGTGTGCGAACGTGCAGTCTGCCCCCATTTTGCACTCATTGGTCCGCCAAAACTTACACATGCGGGTGAACCTTACTGGGTCAAACCATTGGCCAAAAAATGCTTAAATTCCAGTCTTACAGAACGCAAATAACCCTAAACCCAACACCAGAAAACCCCAAATCATATTCGGACGCACAACAAGCTTATAATCTCAGATGCCAAGGAGCTGGACGGCTTTCTTCTGCTCGGTTTTGGTCATGGCTCTGAATTAAATCCAAGAGGGCCAAACTGTAACTGTGCGTCGATACTACCTCGAGCAAACTACCGCTCAGGCACACAGAGAACGAGAGCAATCAATACTAAGCTTCCTTTTTTCGGGAGAGTTGGGGGTATCAGATTTCCGTAAAAATACACAGAGGGCATAGGGTTTAGGGTTTTAGGGTTTAGGAGTTTAAGGGTTTAGGGCTTAGGGTAGTTACCAATTGGATACCGTCGTGAACGCTGTCTCGTAAGTCTCGCGAAACCTCTCCGACTTGACAGTATTCGTATGCCAAACCGTAGCCAAGCACACCGGCCGAACCAATGCCCGGTTTAGGGTTTTTAGGGGTTTGGGGTTTTGGGGTTTCGGGTTTAGGGTTTGGGGTTTAGGGTTTAGGGAACCCGGGACCAAACCCTAAACCCTACGCCTGAAATCCTAAACCCTAAACCGTGAAACCCTAGAGGCGCCAAGTCACAAGGTGAAGGAAAGAAACTTAGGGAAACCTCTCAAACAGTGGCAGTAGCCCAGGAGACTAGATTGGCATGTCTTGGGTTCAGGGTCCACCTTAACCCCAAATGACCTACTTTTCTAGGGACTTATATAAAGAAATCATAATAAGGGGCCCTAAAAAAGTAGTTTCTTTCTTTAGGGTCCAGGTAGGGCCTAAGGACAGTTCTAGTTTTTGTCAACAGACCGTTGCTGTGAGCGCCCTTGAGCAATAAAAACAAAACCTTACCCATAGGCTCCTAAGTAGTTCCTTTTTGTGGTTTGTATTTAGAATCCTATAAGGTGATCCCCAAAAGGAACTACTTTGGAGCCTATGGGTAGTGCCCTAAAAGCCCTGGAACCCTAACAGCTGAAGGGCCAGTTCGGGATCAGAGAAACCCTAAACCCTAAACCCTTAAACCCCTAAACCCTGAACCCTAAACCCTTAAAAAACCCTTAAACCCCTAAACTGGTGGGATTGAGGGTCCTATCATAGGTTCAGAGGACCACCTTACGCCCGGAAGCCTTTTGGGGTTTGGGGCTTGAAAATTTCGGTTTAGGGGTTTAGGGTATGGGGTTTAGGGTTTAGGGTTTAGGGTTTAGGGGTTCAGAAGGACAAGTGCCTCTGCCAGATCAGCAATGTCAGGGAGGAAAAGTTCGAAGGGGCCTCGGGTTGGCGATGTGGCCCTTTTGGTTGCGGAGGGTCTCTTCTTTCTGGGCCCCTGGGCTGATAGGGGCCATTTCAGGATGCACGAGTTTGATAAAGGTCCTACAGGGCTTAACTATGCCGGATCTCTTGGGGGTGTCCTTCTGTAACTCTAAAGCCTATACCCTAAACCCTAAAAACCCTAAACCTTAAACCCTCAACCCTATTTAGAGTCCTCTTGTTTAAGCAGCTAAGTCGAACCTGCTGCGATTCGCCAGCTGGCTGGGCCTGAGGCACGGGTCCTGCGACCGTGCTGCAACGAACTCCGGGTACTTGGAGGTTTAGGGCAGTTATAAGTGGGGTTTTAGGGTTTAGGGTTTAGGCTTCAGGGTTAAGAAGACTCTAGGGCTTGTTCTAGGTTTAGGGTAGTTGTAAGTTGGGATGTTAGTCCCTTTAGGTGGGTTATATAAAGAAGCCATAACACGCTATAGCAGATAACGATACTTACCCTGTAAGCCCACCTTTTTCATACGCATGAACTCGAAGGCTGAATTTTGTTTCACAACTTGAGGTCTGCAGGTTGAGGCTAGGGTTTGGGTCTAGGGTCTAGGGTCTAGGGTTTCGGGCTTAGGGTTTAGGGTTTTGGGTCTGGGGTTCAGGGTCTACGGGTGCAAATGTTTAGATACGTTGGGGGCGAGTGTTCTGAGGATGAGTGAGTGTATGTCCTGTCTGAGATGGCTCTGTTCTCAAAACCATGGCACCCAATCCCTAAACCCCTAAACCCTGGCCCTAAACCCTAAACCCTAAAACCCTAAGCCTAAACCCTATAAACCCTAAACCCCTAAACCCCCAATCCCTAACACCCGAAATCCTAAATCCTAAATCCCGAACCCGGAGTTGAGGTCTTCTATCGGAGTTCTATAGAGTTCTGCACAGGGATTTAAGGCATAGGAAACTGGATCAACTCAAACATGCCTCAACCTCGACATCCGAAAGCAGCTAAGGTTTAGGGGGTTAGGGGTTTAGGGGTTTATAGGGTTTAGGGGGTTAGGGGTTTAAGGGGTTCGGGTTTAGGGTTTAGGGGTTCAGGGTTTAGGGTTGAAGAAATAAACCAACCAACTCAAAGTGAACCGGGACCCAGCAGTCAGCAGGCCCTGCAAAGGTGAGGGAGGGTAGCACCACAGTGATTTTTGTGGCCTGCGGGGGATCTGAGGGGGTCTGGGACGCAACCCTGCCGCCTCAACGCGAGTTTCTGGCCCTCACATCCGCCAGAGTTAAAGGAAACTACAGGTGGGGAGTTTAGGGTATATAGGGCTTCTATACGGCTTCTATGAGGGATATAGACCGTCTATCAGGCTCCTATACCGGTAACTACCCACCTGCAAAATGTGCTAGACAGAGGTCTTTTTCGGCGGGGCTTACCCTGCCAGGGATTGGCGTACTTTCCACTGCGAAAGCCTTGCTTCTCGTCGAGCGGCCGCACAGGCCGCGAGGACTCGAGACCCAGTCCATCTCAGCTGTGGCTGGCTGTGAAACGGGGATTGGGACCCTAAACCCTAATTGAGAATAGTTGGGGTGGTTGGGGCGGGACTATGCTGATTCAATCGCGCTATAAGTGGGCCCTATATTTCCTAAAGTGAACGGCGCACCCGCCGCACGCGCACTCACTGTATGCACACCCTAGACCCCAAACCCTAAACCTACTACTAAACCCCAAACCCTAAACCCTAAACCCAAACCCTAAACCCCAAACCCTTATAAACCCCAAACCCTAAACCATACACCCCAAACAACCCGTGGCCCTAAAAACCATGAACCTCAAACAACCCTGGGCCCTAAGCCCTATCGACCCTAAACCTGGGTGCTTCCCCCAAAGGGTCCTATAGGTACTGCTATGGGGAAAACTTTCCCAAACCATAATAACAATTCCTAGTATAGAAACCCTACATTCTACTATATAGGTACTTTGGACCCTTTGGGTCCTGAAGGAGAATCCCGGTCAACGTCACCAGCACAGGGGCTTTGAGCGGCCGGGTGCGGCCTGTTTCTTTTAAGGGTGTAACATAGTCTGGGGTTTCGGGTTTATAGGGTTTAGGGTGTAAGGGCCTTTTGTGATGTAGACTAGGGTTTTTGGGGTATGTCATGCCAACAGCACATAAGCACAATAAAGAGATGTTATTCACCATAATTTTCAGGCTACTTTATCCGTGAATCAGGGATTAATAGCCTCTTTAAGGATCTCATCGTGGGTGTTCACGACATTCATGCATGTACAGGGGTCTCATTGTCTTTTCGTGGGCGGCTGTTTGGGGCCGTGGTGAAGGTAGTGAAGACTGGGTTAAAGGAAACTAGAGGTGGGGAGTTTAGGGTATATAGACCTTCTATAAGGCTCCTATAACGGTAACTACCCACATGAAAATGTCCTAGACTGGGGAAGGAGCTGAAGCCCCTCGCTCGTAACACACCGGCCGACATATATACACGCAGGTGTGGTGTAACATCGCATCGCAGTACCTACCTGAATCTAAGTAGCCCATGTGTAGGGTTCCTTACCTATAGTCTCCATTGTAGTTCCTTTTGTGGTTTAACCAAATGATCCTAACAGGTAACCCCGAAAAGGAACTACAATGGAGACTATAGGTATTGTTATTTGTTATACAAAGCTAAAATCAGAAGCGTCTTTCAGGGGTCCAGGCAATTCTACGTGAAAGGGGGCCCCGCGCCTAAGGTTTGGGGTTTACATTGCTTACATGCTTTGACTATACGATAGAAGTGGTTGACTATCAGATGCAGCTTACACCCTAGGCCAAGGGGGCCTGGGAGTTTGAGGGGTGATTAAAGCATCTCAGAAACTAGGATTTGCTGAACTTTTGGACAATCACCTGCAAGGTCACGACATGAATCCTTGCCGCCCATGCTCCTGCAAGCATATACGACCCCAAACCCAGAACCCTAAACACTTTGCAGCTTCCAGGTCTCCAGCATCAAGCCTCATAACTTCTGGTCCACCTTCAAGCCACGACTACCCCCTGAACCCCCAGAGCCCCATCACCCCGTGCGGCAGAATGTGAACCATACTTCTTCCAGAATGCCATTCCCTTTAGTTTTGTTTTTTAAGGGTTTAGGGTTTAGGGTGGGTTTAGGGTTTAGGGTTTGCTTCGAAGCCAGCAGATCATACACTCATCGAAACCTCGAATACAAGCCCCCCCTAAACCCTAAAGCCTAAAGCTCATCCTACAGGTCCCTCTACAAACCCGGAACTCCAAAAACCCTCACAAACCCTGCCTAGACCCGAAGCCCTTGAAGAAACTCTATTAGGAACTGTTATAGATCCCTGCAAAGGGGCCCTTAACTCACTTAGAACTACCCAACCCCAACCCCATAAACCCTAAACATCCCTAATTAAACCCTACACTGAGCTTCTAAACCCCGAAGCCCCAATACGGACCCTGGCCGTAGAAGCCCAACAGTTAAAAGCCCAATAGCTTCAATCCCGGCGAGCATTGTATAGGGAATCCCAGCACTAATGGTCCTTAATCCCAAACCCTAAACCCTAAACCCCCAAGCCCCAAAATCCCTAAACCCCCAAGCCCCAAAACCCCTAAACCCTCTACCCCTAAACCCTAAACCCCTAAACCCTCTAACCCTAAACCATAAACCCTAAACCCCCAATCCGGTTTCCAACTGTTCCCCTTAAAGGGGAACCCCGGCTGCGCTCCTCGGGCTCTCGGCTTTGCGAGGGCTGCGGGCCTCTGAGCCCCGGGTTTAGGGCCTTTTGGGTTCCCTTAGGGTTCTTTTTGTTTTTAAGAATCGGGCCTTTCCGGTTCTCTTAGGTTCTTTTTTTTTATTTTTGTTTTCTTTTAAGAAG